GGGGGGCAGGCAGAGGACGAACATGCGGACTGGCTGGTATTCCTCGGTGTGCGGCTGCTCTCTCTCTCTCTCTCTCTCTCTCTCTCTCTCTCTCTCTCTCTCTGTCTCTCCGTCTCTCCGTCTATTTCTCCGGCAGGCGTACTGTGCAATGCCAATGGGCTTAAGCCCAGAATATTCTTCCTGCTCGTGCGTGTGTGTATATGTGTGTGTGTGCGCGCGCTTCATCGCGCGCCTAGGCCAAGCGCGGAAAGGATCAGGAGCAGGGCGCAACCTGGCGCCGCGCCGTCCGTGGGTATGTGGTTTCGGGGGGGCGGGGGGAGGGCGGATTTGAAAATGGCATCCACCTCCGTCAGTCCTGGGCACGGCACATACACGCATGCCCTGCGGGCATGCCCATTTGCCTGTTCGAGCGGCGGTTGTCGGCCTCTCCTGGGCCGAGGGGGGAGAGATATGCACGACCGAATTATAAATCCACCTTTAGTAATGCTTATCTCGTTTCGAGCGGAGGCAAGGTGCCGTTCTTACATGTGGGGGGAGCGCACACATTTGTTGCCCCCCCCCCCGCCGCACGGGTGGCAAAAGGCGGCCCACGCCTCCCTCCTGGGAATGTCCAGCAACCCGGGCGAGGCCTCTTTTGGCTCCCCCTGATATTCGAACCGGACGCGCGAACTCCTGCACCCCGGTCTGGAGCTAGATCCTATTCTTCGGTCGGCGCGGCCTCCTTCTTGGGGCCGGTGGCGCTCTACTTCTCTCCGGGGCGCGCGGGCATCGGGGGGGGGGGGGGGGGGGGCGGCCCCGGCCCGAGGATCTTCACGCTCTCAGCCTCGGGGGCAGGGGAGGAGGGCCGCAGCTCCGCCCACCCACCCGCCCGGGGGGCTGTTCGCCCAACATCCCCCGGGCGGGCCGGCGGGCGAGGGGGGTTCCTGCCTGGCGGCCCGCGCGTTAGCCGCGCCCCTTCTCGCTGGTTTTCCCGCCCCGCTGTTTCTTGCTCCCTCTCTCTCTCTCTCTCTCTCTCTCTCTCTCTCTCTTTCTCGCGCACCGGACACACCCGGAAGGGCCCATTCAGCTGGGACCGCCCTTCGGCCCCGGGCCGCTGGATCCCCCCGAGCATCCAGCTTCTCCCTTCCCTCCTCCCCCGGGCCCCCTTTTGCCTCCCCTCCCCCTCGGGCCCCTTTTGCATCTCCTCCCCTGCCCCTCGCCCTTCCTCCCGCTCCTCCTCCTTTGCCGACGGTCGTCCCATCGCGGCAGATCGCCTCCCCCACCCCCACCCCTAGCCCCCCCACCCCCGCCACGGTCTTTTCCCACCGCACAAGGGGGCTGGGAGTTCAGGCGCCCACCGGCTCCCCGTCTGCGCGCGCCTCCCTCCCTCCTCCCTCTCTCTTCCCTCGTGGCAGCGGCGGCGGCAGCGGCGGCAGCGGCGGCGGCTATCCCTTCCTTTCCTTCTTCCCCCTCTCCTCCTCACGGGGCGTACTGGAATGTCCCGTCGCTTCGACCATGGCGACCTCGTCTGGGCCAAGGTCCACAACTACAGCTACTGGCCCGCCCAGGTGCGCTTTCTCGATCCACATTCCCCGGCGCTTACCTCCCCATTTGCATGCCGCTGCCCCGCTCAGCCCACTAATCTGCCTTTGTACCTTACATGCGTCTCCTCCATTCTCCTCTGGGCTCTCCGTCGCTCGGGGCCTCCTCCTCTCTCCTTCCCCCAGGTGCGGACTGACATCCGTGCTGACCACCGAAAGGTAGCTGTGATTTTCTTCGGTTCCCATGACTTGTGCGTTTGCTCCCCCCCTCCCCCCCCCCTGCTTCTCTGCAATCCCGCCTCCTGTCCATCTCATTGTGCAGGCTACTCATATGCGCGCCCTATCCCCTGTCTCTCTCCCCCCCCCCGCTTCTGGTGGTGGTGGTGGTGATGCTGCTGTTGCTGTTATGTGCGCGCGCGCCCACCGTCAGTGGCTTTCCCTATGCCGAGCATGTGGACGACTTTGAGGCAGCCTTCTCCAAGCACACGAGCGCCTTCAAGAAGAAGAAAATGCCCAAAAATCTCCAGTCCGCCATCGACGAGGCCCGGCGACGGGAGTCGCTCCTTGGCATCCGGTGTCGAGGCCTCGGGTCGCAATCCGACTCGGACAGCGCTGATGGCGGCCATTCCGGGTCCGAGAGGCACTCGCGCTCGCGATCGCGCTCGCGGTCGCGCTCGCGGTCGCGCTCGCGTCAACGCCGGCGCCGGCGCTCGGCATCAAGGTCATCTCGGTCACCCTCACCCTCAGCCTCGGGGTCGCGGTCGCGGTCGCGGTCGCGGTCGCGGTCCCCCTCAGCCCCGCGGTCACCGGGGGGGCGCCCTCATCGCCGCCGGTCTCGGTCGCACTCTCCCTCGCGGTCGCGATCGCGGTCGCGCTCACGATCCCACTCTCGGTCACGGGTGTCCTCGTCGCCAGCACGCCCAGCGCGCGCCACCAAGCGTGGTGACTCCCCGGGACCCGATTCGCCCCTGCGGCCGCCAACCGGCGCCGGGGGCGGTGTGCTCCGGCGCAAGCGTCCTACTCCCTCGGCGCCGGATTCCGCAGACTCGCCCCCACCCCCGGGGACGGCCCGCCGAGTCGCCACCAGCACCCCCGGGGTTCGCCCTTCTCGATCCCGCGACGAGTCGCATCCTGATCGTGAAAGGAGTCCGCCGCCCGTGGCCGGTGATACCCCCGCTCGCGGCGTCAAGCGCCCGAAAGTCGAGGCCCCCCTGCCGGAGTCCGAGGTGCGAGCTTTGCCGTCTGCCCATTCTCTATCCGCCTCCCCCTCCTTCTTTCTTTCCTTCTTTCTCTCCCCTCCCCTCGGGCCGCCCCACCGGCCTCCCATCTAACACCCTGTCAACTCGGCCGATCTGTCCGGCACCCTTCAACCCGATAGCCACGCGGGTCAGCCTCTCCCCAACTGCCCTCGGCCATGGCCGATGACAGCCACCGGATTTCCAAGTCGCCCGAGCTCCTGCCCCTGGAATCGATCCTGTCGCTGGCACAGCGCGTTCTGCCCGATGGCCTGACAAGCGGCATGGCCACGCTTCTGCTGCCTCGCAAGAAGATCAGCCGGCAGGACCTGACACCGGAGCAGCTGCGTGGCATCGAGGCCAAACGCCAGCGCCGGGCGCGCCTGTCCCCCGAGGAGATCGCCAGCGAGAAGCAGGCCAAGCAGCTCCGTCGCCGGGACCGGCTGATGCGCCTCCAGCGCTATCTTCATCGGCGCGAGGATAAGATGCGCCGCCATGGCGAGCAGCACCGGCTGGCATCGGCCCAGCCGCCCGCCGACTCACCGACCCCTGCCACAGGCACGGGATTGCCATCGACCTCTCCGAGCCCGGGCCCCTCGCCGCCTATCAAGGCCGAGCCGGCCTCCTCGCCGTCATCCCTGCCGCCGCCGCCGCCATCTCCTCCAGCCCACGGTGGCGTTGCTGGCCAGACTGCGTCAACATCACAGGCCGCCTCTCGTCAGTCTTCCTCTCCAGCACAACAACCACAGCAGCAGCAACAACAGCAGCAGCAGCAGCAGCAACAGCAACAGCAGCAGCAACAGCAACAACAACAGAGGCCCCACGCACCTGGCTCACTATCTGAAACCGGGTCTGCGTCTGCCCCTTTCCCCCTTGCGGGAGGTGGCCCTAGCAAAAGTGATCACGGCACTCTGCCACTGTCGTCGCGTATTGCTCAAGGCGGCCGATTGCGTAAATCCGCCACTCGGGGCCGCGTCCGCGATGATAGTCGGAGCCGGAGCCCCAGCCGGAGCCGAAGCCGGAGCCGGAGTCGGAGCCGGAGTCGGAGCTGGAGTCGCGGCCGAAGCCGGAGTCGCGGTCGGGGCCGAGGCCGTAGCCGGAGCCGGAGCCGCAGCCGCAGCCGGAACCGGAGCTGGAGTCGAGGCCGGAGTTGGGCTCGGAGTCGGAGCCGGAGCCGGAGTCCAAGCCGGAGTCGCCGGGAGCGAGACCGAGCGCGGTCACGATCTCCATCCCGGTCGCCGTCGCCCTCGAGGCATCGGCACTGGCGTCCAGCGCGATCTACCTCGCGGTCGCGGTCGCGGTCGCGGTCAGTCTCTCCCTCGTCGGCCGGTGGGACGATCCAGCGGCGACGTGTCAATGGTGGCCGGGTGCGCGACTGGCCGGATCCATCTCGTCGGCGGTCACGCTCCCGGTCGCCAGATGGCGACTCGCGGTCAATTCCGGCCGGCAGCCGGTCCCGAATGCCGGCGCCGGCATCGTCCTCGTCATCTCTCCCGACGCCCCCGTCCTCATCATCCCCCACCTCCGCTGCCTCCTTCGCCTCCTCATCGAGCGACCCCGGTCCTCTCACGATTGCCGGCATGGCAGCCTCCCTCGGCCAGTGCACCGGCGAGTTGGCTCGTGCTCAGATGCTGACCGAGCGCCTGCAGAGCCTCTACAATCTGGAGCCCACTGGCTTTGCCGGGGCGCTGGCCGGTTCGACGATCGCCGCACTTGACTGGCTTCTCAGTCGGCTAGAGTCGCTTGCCTACAATGCGGCCATCTTGCGCGAAGTGCCGATCGGCGCGGCGCTGACCCCGTTGATCCGGCCGTCCATCGGCGAGCGGGACCTCTCTTCGAGGGCCATGGCCTTGCAAATGCGTTTCCGCCAGCTGATGATGGGCGGTGGCGGCGGTGGCGGCGGCATCGGGGCCAGCGGCATCGGGCCCAGCGGCAGCAGTACCAATGGCGGCAGTGCTGGTCTCAAGTCTCAGGACTTAGCCGGTGACATGGATCTTTCGATGGTGGACGGGTCCGTCACAGGCGGAGGCGCCTCCTCGTCAACCAACTCCCTCTCACGGCCGGTTGCCTCGACCGCGAGCGGTCGGTAGTGCCGCTGGTGTGTCGCACCGCCAGCTCCTCCTGTCCTTGTGCAAATGCGCGGTCCTGCATGCTCTTCCCTTCTGTTGGTGACTGCATCCCCCCCCCCCCCCTCTCTCCCCCCCCATACGCATACATGTCCGTGCACCCCCGAGGGGCTGGTCTACTCCCCTTGTCTCCCTCCCCTTTTCTCTGATGGCCACCACAAGGTCGGGGACAGCATTGTCCGTCGTCGTCGTTGTTGTTGTCGTCGTCGCCGCTGCCACGCGCGCAGCGGCCTACTCGCCATACCCTCTCTTGTTCTCCATGTGCGGAGCAGCCTCCCTGCTCTGCGGCGAGGCTGGAGAGTAATCATGCCTCCCTTTTTGTATACTAGATGGCCATGTGGAGGCGGTTTCCTCCACTCTATAGACGAATGCGTCTCGCCCTCCCTCCCGCCCTGTGTTTGCGTTGTTACTTCTTGCCTTTTTTCCCCCCCTCCCCGCACGCGGTGGCCGGATACCGTGCATGGGAGAGCCAGTCGGGCAGCGGAGCGGCAGGCGGGCAGCGCCGGCGGCGCCACGAACATGGCGTGTCGCCAGTGTGCTGGCCGACACGGACGGCGTTGGATGGTGTTTGTCTAGCTGGAGGGTCTGTTTGTTGGGCATGCCTGGTTGCCGGGGCTCTCCCCACCGACCCGCCGTTGGTTCTCTCTTGTCCGCTCTTCCCCCGCCGCACGCCGCGGGCGGGCCCTTAGAAAATGGGAGACGGGCCTCAGGCTGATCGGCCCGCCACGGCCCGGCCCCCGCCATGCTCAGGGCAACCTGCGGCAGATCTCAGAACATGCATCACGCCACCCAGTGCCCGTCGGAATAAAACGCCATTTAAAACCTCCCAATAGTGTGCTTCTGGGGTTGGGGTGGTGCTGGGCGAAGCAGCATGCCAAAGCTAGTGATGCGCAGGACTGGCCGAGCGTTGTGCTGCCTTCCTCGGGCCGGGTTTTTTGTCTGTCCCGAGCCTTCCTGCTTGGCGAGGTGTCTGGTTCGGGGAATCTATCCATGACCGTCGCCTTGTTCAGAGGGGGTCTACCGGGGCCAGGGCACGGCCTCAAGGCGTCCCGCCCGGGCCTTGTGTTTGCAGGGGCTTATTTTCTCCCCTTCGCGCCCGGATGTTGACGATGGGATACTACTTCCAGCGCCTGGGTCAATTTCTGTCCTCGTCCTCTTCCTCCCCCCCCCCCCCCCACCTCGGTCTGGCTGGGCATGTGGAGAGATGGGGCTGCCGGGTGTGTGTTGGGTGGCGAGTGGAGGCGTGCTGGGCCCGGCCACTGGGCCCGGAACGCCAGATTGCGGAACCAGGGTGCTGGACATCTGAGCCAGTGTCCTTGGCCCTGCTACAGTCCGAGACCTGAGCTTGGTTTCTGGTGGCCGGTTTCGGGCTTTTGATGGGCGCATCACACAGCGTTGCGTGGCGCCCTCACATGGGGGGGGCCTGCGTTCCGTCCCCCTTCGCCCCCCCCCCCCCCCTCCGAGGGTGGTGATGGGCTGTGTGTGTAGGGTCCTGCCGGCTGGCTCCTTGGCCCGCCCAGGGACGACGCGTGTGTGAGGACCTCTCCCCGGGGGCGTCCCAGGCGTGCGCAATCCCCCGCCCCGCTCCCGATGTATGGCACGTCCCTCGCACACGCGCGCCCGGGGTCCAACTCCTGCTGGCTGTCCAAGACACTGGTCCCAGGAGGGGGGACCATTCTTCAGAGGCCATACCAGGATCATGGCTCCCTCGAGCCTCTCCCCCAACTACGAAGTGTTTCACCATCTCAAGGTGCCTTCCTCACTCCTCCCCTTCCCTCTCTACCCCCTTCCCTCTCTCTCTCCCTTCTCTCTCTCTCCCTTCTCTCTCTCTCTCTCCCCCTTCTCTCTCTCCCTCTAACTTCCTACCCTCCTCCTCCTAGTGACTCTTCGTGCACTACTGCATACCGCCCGTGTGTTGTAGCTGTTACATCACCATGGTTTCCACCGAGTGCTCTCAGACCGTGTGGACTGGCGACAAGGTCCGCCAGACCTTCATCTCCTTCTTTGAGGAGCGTGGTCACTCCTTCGTCCCCTCCTCGTCGACCATCCCCCACGATGACCCGACCCTGCTGTTCACCAACGCCGGTATGAACCAGGTACGTGCCTCTCCCGCTCCTCCCCCGCTGTGCCCTGGCAGCTATGAAGCCCACCTGTGCCCCTCTCCGAGCTCGGTCCTGACCTCCCGCATTGTGACTCCCGCGCGCCCCCCTCCCCCTCCCTCCCCCTTGTCGCGGCCGCCCCTCAGTTCAAGCCCATCTTCCAGGGCACTGTGGACCCGAACTCTGAGTTCTCTCGTCTCAAGCGCGCTGCCAACAGCCAGAAGTGGTGCGTATTTTGTCATCATCCAGCTGTGCCTACTCTCTCGGTCTCCCCGTTGCGTCCCTCTCCACCATATCCCTGACTCATCCCCTCCCCCCCCCTCTCTTCCTCCCTCCCAATGGGTGACCACCCGCGCGCAGCATCCGCGCTGGTGGCAAGCACAACGACCTCGATGATGTCGGTAAGGACTCCTACCACCACACCTTCTTCGAGATGCTGGGCAACTGGTCCTTCGGCGATTACTTCAAGGTTGACGCCATCAACTGGGCCTGGGAGCTCCTGACCGAGGTCTTCGGCCTGGACAAGGACCGCCTGTACGTGTCCTACTTCGGTGGTGACGCCGAGGCCAACCTGCCGGCCGATCTGGAGACCCGCGACCTTTGGCTGGCCAAGGGTGTGGCCCCGGAGCGCGTCCTGCCCTTCGGCATGTCGGAGAACTTCTGGGAGATGGGTGACACCGGTCCCTGCGGCCCGTGCTCCGAGATCCACTACGACCGCATTGGTGGTCGCACGGTCCCGGAGCTGGTCAACGCCGATGACCCCGATCTGCTGGAGATCTGGAACCTGGTGTTCATGGAGTTCAACCGTGAGGCCGATCGCTCCCTGAAGCGCCTTCCCTCCCAGTCGGTCGACACCGGCATGGGTCTCGAGCGCCTGGTGTCGGTCCTGCAGGACCGCCGCGCCAACTACGACACCGATCTCTTCTCGTACCTGTTTGAGGTGGGTTTCTCTGCGTCCTCTTTCCTCCCCCCCCCCCTCCCTTCCGCCCCTTTGTCTTTCGCCGGCCATTTGCATGCCTCATGTGTGTCAGCGCACATGTTGTGCGCCTGGCGCCCATTCCTCCTTCCCGCTCGCTCGCTCGCTCACCTCCCCACACCCGGTTTCTTCGCCCGCTCCTGCACAGGCCATCGAGAAGGGCACCGGTGCCCGGCCCTACTCCGGCAAGTACGGCAAGGACGATGCCGATGGCATCGACACCGCCTACCGTGTCCTGGCCGATCACATCCGCACCCTGGCCTTCGCGCTGTCGGACGGCGGTGTTCCCGACAAGGATGACCGTGGCTATGTCCTGCGCCGTGTCCTGCGCCGTGCCATTCGCTTTGCCCACGAGAAGCTCGGTGCCAAGCCCGGCTTCTTCCCGAACCTCATCACCGCCGTCGTGGACAAGATGGGTCATGCTTTCCCGGAGCTGAAGAAGAACCCGGCCGGCGTGATTGAGATCCTGGTCGAGGAGGAGGCCCAGTTCCGCCGGACCCTGGATCGCGGTATCCGCCTCTTCACCCAGGTGGTGGAGAACCCGGCCAACACCAGCGCCGGGACCCTGTCCGGTGAGGTGGCCTTCAAGCTGTATGACACCTATGGCTTCCCCAAGGATCTGACTCAGATCATGGCCGAGGAGCGCGGCCTGACCGTGGACCTGGCTGGGTATGCGGCCGCCGAGGCCGAGGCCAAGGCCCGGTCTCAGAGCACCAAGAGCACCGCCGGTGCGGCGGTGGCCCTCGACGTGCACACCATTGCCGAGCTCAACCAGAAGGCCGTTCCCCGGACGGATGACTCCTTCAAGTACACCCACTCCGAGGTGGAGGCCCGTGTGCTGGCCATCTTCCATGGGGGTGCCTTTGTGGAGTCCTTCGATGCCAATGCCACGCACGATCTCTTCGGGCTGATTCTGGATCAGACCAACTTCTACGCCGAGCAGGGTGGCCAGATCTTCGACACCGGTCTCATCCATCTGACCGGCGGATCGGAGGGCGTCCTGGAGGTGGAGAATGTCCAGGTGTACAATGGGTTTGTCCTGCACACGGTGTCCATGAGCACCGGGGTGGTGCGCGTTGGCGATGCCGTGTCCTGTGCCTTTGACCCGGCTCGTCGTCGTCCCATTCGTCGGAACCACACGGCCACGCATCTGCTGAACAATGCCCTGGCTTCGGTCCTCGGGGGCGAGGTGAACCAGCAGGGGTCGCTGGTGGCGCCGGATCGCCTGCGCTTCGACTTCAGCTTCGGCAAGGCCGTGCCGGCGGAGAAGCTCCGCGAGGTGGAGGCCCTGGTGCGCGAGCAGATCGCCGCCGACCTGCCGGTCTACTATGACAATGTGCCGCTGGTTGATGCCGAGAAGATTGCCGGTGTCAAGGCCATGTTCGGCCAGTCCTACCCGGACCCGGTGCGGGTGCTGTCGGTTGGCACTCCGATTGCCACTCTGGTGGCCGACCCGGCTTCCGGCTCGGGCGTGGCCTCGGTGGAGTTCTGCGGTGGCACTCATGTTGCCCGGTCGTCGGATATCCAGGACTTTGTCCTGCTGTCGGAGGAGGCCGTGTCGCGCGGTGTGCGCCGTGTGGTGGCGGTCACCGGTCCGGAGGCCGTGCGCGCGGGCGAGCTGGCTGACCAGCTGCAGCAGGCCATCGCCGATGTGGTGAAGAATGCCACCGGTGCCAGCCTGGTTGGGTCTCTCAATGGCCTGGATGCCCAGGTGACTGAGGCCCCGCTGTCGCTGGTGCGCAAGCAGGCCCTGCGCGCGCAGATCGCCGAGGCCAAGCGTGCCCAGGCCGAGCAGGACAAGCTCGTGCGCGTGGCCCAGGAGAAGGCTGCCAACCAGCGTGCCGAGGAGCTCCTGGCCAAGCTGACCCCGGATGACAAGTTCCTGGTGGAGGTCTTCGATTTGGGCTCCAATGCCAAGCACCTGTCGCAGCTGTCGCGCCAGTTCCCGAAGGTCGGTGTGTTCTTCATGTCGGTCGATCGGGACCTGGGTCGTGTTCTGCATGCGGCCAATGTCCCGGCCGCCCTGGCTGACACCCTGTCCGCCAAGGACTGGTCCGCGCATGTGGTTGATGGTGCGCTGGGCGGCAAGTCCGGCGGCAGCAAGACCACCGCCCAGGGCGCCGGCCCGGAGGTGGGCGCTGTGGAGAAGGCTTGCGAGCTGGCCACCGCCTTTGCCAAGCTGAAGGTTTCCAGCGAGTAAGGCGGCGGAGCAAGAGAAGGAGGCAGCGGGTCGGGCCACTGTGCGTGTGCTTGGTCTTATTTCCCCTCTTGCTGTGTGCCGCCCTTTGCCCGTTTTTACTTGGGCAGGGGGCGGTGGGGAGGGGGGGGGGGGGGGCGGGGGTGAGCGTGTGAACGACATGTCAGACATCCTCCTCTCGCCTGCCTTGCTGGTGTGGTGCCCGTGTGCGGGCGATGCCGCTCCCCCCCTCCCCCCCCCACTCCCTCCTGCGCTGTCGGACGAGGCGAGGGCGGCGACCCCAGAGTGAGCGTCTGCATGGATGTGCACATTGAGCTTCCTCCCCTCGCCCTTGGTAGGGTGAGATGTGTCAGCAATCGCATGCACTTCTCTCTCTCTCTCTCTCTCTCTCTCTCTCTCTCTCCCTCGCGCGCGCACATACCCTTCGTCGTGGTGCATGTGTAGACCCATTTTCTTCCTCCCCTTCCCGCTCTTTGCCACACCTATGTATGAATAATAAAAGACATGGGATTCCCCTCTCCCCTCTCTCTCTCTTCCCCTTTTGGTGTCCTCCTCTGCGAGTGTGTATCATCAGGCATGTGTCCGGTTGAGCTGCTGCTCCGGGGGCTACAGCACAGCGGCCAGCGTCCAATCACCGCATGCAAACCATCCCCCGAGGGTCTGCTTTCCTGCGTCCGCCCCTCTTTCTCGTGTGTTGTGTGATGCGGGCTGTTGCTTTTCTCACCGAAGGCCCGGCGGGCACGAGCATTAACTCAATGTCCAAAAAGCACCTGACCAGCTCTCAGCACCCACCGTGAAGCATCACGCTGGCTCATGCAGGGGCGTCGCCCCTCGGGGGGTTACCCCGTACTGGGGTGATTTGCCTGGTGGGAAAATGGCGCGCCCGGGCTCTGGACCCGCTCGCCGCCTCCGTGCCCCCGCCCGTCTTGCCCCTTTTTCTTCCTGCCCCTCTTCGAGCAGCTGGACGCCTTGACGGAGGCGAGGCGAGGGGCCAGGCTCGAGTCTCCCAGTCCGTCCGGTCCTCAGGGAGACGGAAGAAGGCGGTGCTGCCGTTGTCCAGCCTTCCTGGCAAGCTGCCCTGCCCGCTGTCCTGTAAAATAGGCAGCCGAGAGGCGGGGGCAAGGGCTGGGGGCAGCCGGCATCGCCGCAGGGGTGTGCAAGCTGCCGCAAGACAAGCGCGAGCCAGCTGCTCCTGCCCAGCCGGGGCGGGACGGGAGGCAGGGGGGCCACGGTAGGCCGGGGTTGGCCTGTCACGGAATCAGCAACCGGCGTGCGGCCCCCCCCCCCCCCCCGGGGGCCGGGGGCGGAGTGAGGGCCGTGCAGGGAGGCGCAGGCGCGTGGTCGGCGGTGTGCGTGGCATGTTCAAGCGCATGCAGGCCGAGCGGCAAACGAGTGTTTCACAGGCCGTTGTGCCAATCTTTATGTGTACATCTTCAGTGCACACCATCCTGGGAGCGTGGCCGGCCGCGCTCTTTTGGTCGCTTCTCTGGGGGGCCTTCAAATCGGTGTCTTGCTCGACCACGGGGAGATCCCCGCCCCCCCCCTCCCGGTGTGGCCGTCATCTGGCCGGACGGGCGGAGAGCGCGCCTAAAACTGGGCGCATGCTGAAGGAATAAAGAGGCAGGGACCACGTTTAGCACCGTCTCCGCGCCGGCCCCATGGGGCGCGGGTCGTGGGCGAGGGCGCCCGGCGTGGTGGCGGTGATCGTGGCGGTGGTCGTGGCGGTGGTCGTGGCGGTGGTCGTGACGGCGGTCGTGGCGGTGGCGGCGTCGTGCGGCGCCGCGCAAGGCCGGGCGGTCTGGGGGGGAGGCATTTGATATGCGGGGGGCGGGGCGCCGGGGTGGACGCGGCAAGTGTGACCAAATATTGCGTGGCCAGCAAGGTGGCGCCAGGCGTGTGGTGACGGCCACCTCTCCTCGGGGGGGGGGGAGGGAGACCGGGGGAGAGCAATAGCACAGCCCTGCCCCCGGCTCTCCTGCCACTGGCCGTCCCACCGAGGATTAACCCCTTCCTTCCGGACCGGTGCCCAGGCCCTTTGCGCGGGATTTGAGGCGGCAGCCGGGGGAGGGGGGGGGGTCCGGTGCCCCGCCTCCCCGGGTATTGGGCCTGTCTGGCCTGCGTGGCCTGTTTCTTCTCCTTGCCCCCCCGCCCTGGGGGTGGGGTGGGGGGGTGCGGCGGGCATGCTACCCGCGGCGATGGAGTCTGCCCCTTGGTTGGTGGCAATTTCGGGAGGCTGCCATGTGGCCCTCGCGCTCTCCTCGTGAGGAGGAGGAGCTCTGGGCCGGTGCGGACGGGCTCAGGCGGGGGCATCTACAGCGGCAGGCACCGCGAGCTCGGGGCAGAGCGGGCCTCGGCGGGGGGGGGGGGGGGGGGGGGCCCCGGGGGGGGGGGGGCCCCCCGGGGGGGGGCCCGCCCCCCAAGGGGCCCCCCCCCCCCCGGGGGGGGCCCCCGGCCCCCCCCCCCCCCCCCCCCCCCCCCCCCCCCCCCCCCCCCCCGCGCGATGGGCCTCGTGGTGCCTCTCGCCGGGCCTGCCGCGCCCTCCGGCGCGCCTTGCGCCCGGGCGTGGGCCGCAGTGATCCATTGGCATTGAGAGGGACAGCTGGGGCCGAGCCGGTGTTGGGAACGGCGCCGGTGCCGGCTGCTCGGGAAACGAGGAAGGCGGAGAAGCCGCGAGCGGTGGGCTTTCGTCGTTTGCGTTGCGGGGGGCCCGGGGCCCGGGGGCGGAGCGGGGCGGGAAAAAACGGTTCCCGCTTGTTTGGGCGTGGGGCCGACCGAGCGGCTCCGGTGGGTTGGGGGGTGCGCAGCCCGGGGTCCACGCCCGACGCGTCCCGTGCGGGTCTCTGCTTCGGCCGGTGCCCGTTTCGCGGGTGGCACCCCGGCACCCTGCGCGAGCCTGCTTCCCCGTAAGTCCCTCCCTCTCTGGGCACCCTGTGCGATACATGCGCCGCCGACTGGTCCCTGTGGAAAGGCAATTAGCGCGTCCGCTCGCCCTGCCAGCAACCCCCGTTGTCTCCCAGTCGGACGTGTCCCCTTCGTCGTGCCCCTTTCCGGCCCGCCTGGCTGTGCGTCCGGAGGCCGGGATGGTAGCCGAGACTCCAGGCCGCCCCGCCCCGCCCCCCCCCCCCTGCCGGCCGGCGGCCCTGGCCGGTTACTCGCCCGCTGGCCCGCGTGTTTGCTCGCCCCGCTCGGCCGCGAACACTGTTGCCGCAGCGTTGCCCTTGGCCGAGGCACCAAAACAAGGCCCGCCCGCCGGAGCGGAGTCGCGGCCGGCTGGCCTCCCCCGGGGGCGAGGGGCAGCCGGGCCGCAGAGCACAGATCCCCAGGTGCTTTGTCCCCTCATCTTCCCCTGAACCTCCCGCCCCGCGCCTCTGCCCGTTGGACCCGGGGCTAACCGGAGAGGGGGGGGCGGGGCGAGGGGTTGGGGTGGGGACTTGGGCCGAGAGAGGGAGAGAAGGCGGGCCCGGGGCCCGGAAGCGAGCGTGTGGGCCGGCGGCCATGATGCGTGCCCCAGGGCGAGATGATTGTTGTCTCCCGCGCCCGGCGCAACCCCCCCAGCGCAGGGGGCAGGGATCACGGCCGGCATGCAGGCTCCACGCACTGGCCACCTCCCAGCGAGGGGGGGGGGGG